GTGATTTGGCTTGCCACATACATAGCACGGACCTTTTTTATTTCCCTTGGACGTCTGATATTTCTTATAACGATCTTGTTGGACCTCAATTCTTTCAGAGCTTCTTTCTTCCTTTTTAATATATTCCTTTTTGTCTCTTTTATTTTCTTGGCGTGGTCCCATATTCTTTTTATAACTAAATAAGGCTTCATCTTCTTTCATGAGACCTCCGCCATTTGTCTGGTCAATGCTTCTTGGTCGGCTAGTATACTTTCAAAATTTACCAAAGAAGGCTGCTCAGACCAACCTTGTATAGCGGCTATAATCTCCCTAAATTCGGGTCTTATGCCATGGATGAGAATTCTTCTCATTTTAGCTTCTGAAACTTTATCAGTGGGGTCCAATTCAGATATTTCGCGACAAAGAGTTCGTACCTTGTTAAAGTGTACCGCCATCTCCCCTTGTTTGAGTGACAAGAGCTCGTTCTCGAGAAGTTGTAGCTTGAACTCATTCTTTTTTGAAAAATAATGCTCCCAGAGTATCCCATGCCTGTTTTGGAGTGCTTGCGTCCCGTATGTGCTCCAACAACTCTTTGTCGATAGTCGTCTTAAGTGCGTACATTGCCTTTCCTGCCTTTATCTTCCATTTACGTAAGGCCCAAGCTTCTTCAGGTGGTGTGACCTCTTCTCCGCCAACAATTTTCCACAGATCTTGGCCTTGGAGATACGACTCCATGCATGTCCTCCATTTGGTGTAATTTTGATCATTGAGTTTCTCCATTCTGCCTACTGACTATAGATCCGACATCATGACTTGGACTACCTCCTCGTAACCAAGCAAGCCTCACGCACTTCACAATTTCTTTTAATTGCGCACGATGTCTTTGAACTCAATAATCTCCCCCTGGTTGACGACAAGTGATGAGCCCTGAATATATTGGCACGAGCTTACAAGAATAATATTCAAAATAATATTCAAAATACACAAGAATAATATTCAAAATAATTTTTATATTACACAAAAGATGTAATTTACAAATATAACACTCACACCTTACAATTGTTACAATAGCACTCAAGAGAAAATTCACGCTCTCTCAACTCACACGCACAGCACACACAATGCTCACTTACTCACCTTTTATTTTGATCACTCTGTTATGTTTTTGTTACACAGCACACACACACAATGCCTAAATTTATACTAACAAACAGAAGTTTCTAGTATGTCGGTTTTACTAAGTGGACATTAAATTAATACATTCTTCTAATTGATTATACATTCTGCTAGATATTTCAAGAAATTTTCTTATAAGTCGGTGTTGATTTAATTAACACCCTTCACGAATATTCTTGTCCTCAATGATTGGAGTATGCGGTTCATGCACTTTCTCCTCACACACTCTCGAAATTATTTGGGACTGCCCGTCTTCAACCTCGACTTCCTCGACGTCTTCGAGATGATTATCAAAGATTGTGGACCATCGTAATTCGTCGAGGCTTGATCGTCCTCTTTAAATAGGACCCGTCGTCCTCTTCGATGTACTCGTCGAAAATTGTGGGCCACCGGTACCTTCTCACAGGTAAGGTTCTGCCTAACATGAAAATCGTCAAAGTTTACTGCATGCATCGGGATCATGCACATAACTCCTCTAATAGAGGTGTACATATTTCCTCTACTCGACGTATACAACATGCCGTGCACTCCTGAAAGCTTCAGTAGTAAGGCCAACCGTTAGACTAGGTTATTGGCTCGGTTGAGAACTCAAAAGGGCTAACAACGCGCGACTGCGACTCCCTTCTCTTCTTAGAACTAAGGCATCCTGCACCTTTTTCCGTACCAACATCTCGCAACGCACCTATCAACGCACAAGACTCCAACCGGCCTTCCTGTGTATTGATAGCATGCTCCGACTATCCAAACATCAGGGGTTGATACGTGGCACCAAGATTCAGTCTCGTGCTTGGGTCACGCTGAAAGCTCGTCCACGATCTCATCACGAATTGTGCGTCTCTGCTAGAAACGGTCAACACGGCACCCCATGCAGTCAGACTAATTTCCACTACACTCATCTTCACTGTAGTTTCGACACCTCTGAAACACATAGTCTTTACTCGAAACCTAAGGCTCCGTCCGATGTCACTGCGAAACTTCCTATCTTGCCGACTCTAGAAACTCCAACATGTGGCATAGGAAACTTATCGACAATTCTCACTTAATCAAACATATTGATTAAGAAGTTCGTGAAATTTTGCGGAACGTGGAACTCTTGGTTCAAGGAATAAAACTCAGAGAATTTTCGAAAAGGTAAAAGAAATTTGGGGTTCGACAAATAAAAAGGTTCAACGGCTCGGGGTTAGTGCGCGTCCCTCGAGAGGCGGCACACCTGCTGGCGCTGCTTACGCGGGGCGCCGGGTCGTGTGCGTGCTTACCTCCTCGGAGACCCACTACTGGTCGAGGTTTGACCGTACACACTGGCCTTAGGAGCTTGCGTTCAGTGATGGAGGCTGCAGCTCTCGTGCGAGTCGACGGTCGGCCCCGCAGTTGGCCTCGCGTCTCTCAGCACGGCGTGCGTGCTCGACCACCACTTCGCGTGGCTACACCCGGCCAGGGACGGCTTTCGGCTCAGGGTTCCAACAAGGTAATTTAACTCGAGGCTCACAACAACAAAAATCCAAGGCAACCAAAAGAAAGGGTTTTTTTTCATGGTTTTTCCAAAGGTTTCCATTCAATCATGATAACACCAACAATTTAAGTCAAAACAAGGCTAAGTCCAAGGCATAAAATTTTAGTTCCAAGTCCACTATTTTCACAAATCAACACAACTTGCCATACCAAAATCTAACGATTAACTAGGAGATTTGTCGATGACATCTAAATAATCATAATGAGCTTATACGCACTACAACATAAATGACTTTAGGTAGCGCCATTTATGGTAATACTTTACAAATTGTTGGTTTATGTATCATATTATTGTAACACTTTTAAAATAAGTGTTAGAAAAAACTAGTAAAAGTATCATATAAGTGTTATAAAAAACTACCAAAAGTATTACCTTTGACTTTAGGTAGCACAAACAACTGCAACGCCAATATTGTGTTACCTATTGTCTTTTTTTTTTTCTCCAACGATAGAAATCTTATAAAAGAAGAAACGAAACAAATAAAAGTACAAGCGGGGGAGCCCCGAACCATCCGGCCTAAATGAGACTTGAGAGCACCACTACAATAGTGTGCTAGACTAATACTAACAATGACATTGAAGCTAGCCATAAACACTAGGAACTTCAATCTCAAACAAGACCATAAACTAAGAACATAAACTGCCAACAACCTAAACCAACTAAAACTAAGCAATACACCAAAAGACACCTACCTAAACAGTCCAGGACCTGGACCAAAAGAAATCAAAGCAACAGAACAAACACAGCACCACAAGGCACAAGCTGAAACAACAAAAGCAAACAGAAGAGCCTAAGCTATGTAGATGAGCAGAATTCATGCCACTCCAAGAGAGCTTTCTGAACCACAGTCCTCACTGGCATCAATTCCTGCTGAAAGACCCACAAGTTCCTGGACCTCCATAGCCACCATAGTATGTAAGTTGATAGCTGGATCCTGTCTTCCGAGATATCAGATTTTGTGATTGAGCACACTTGCCACCACCAGTTTTTGAAGTTGCTTTGTTCTGCTTTGAGTCCATCCCATGTCAGAGGTGACATTTTCCAAGCTTCCTGGGCTCTTTTGCATGTTAGTAGCAGATGTTCAGTGGTTTCTTCAGTCTCCCCACACAGCTTACATATAGGGTCCAGATTAATGCCTTTCAGTCTTAAGTTTGTCCCAACAGGAAGGATCCCTGTGAAGCATTTCCAAAATGTTACCTATTGTCTATAGGTAACATTTTATAGCTTTTATGTATTATTCTTTAGTGCTACTTAAAACCATTTATGTTGTAGTGACGGGAGATTTTTCGAGCAATACAACTAAAATAAAAGCAAGGCGAATAATACGCTAACTCATCTAAAACGAATAGGGCGCTACATTTGCAATATAGCCTTTTATATTTATGTAAATTTCATATACCAATTAGATTGAAATATAATTGATTACTTGGTTTTTGGTAGTGCAAACGATCTTGACCCGGTCCGACGTCCTTGATTCATCCTTAAACAGATGAAATTACCTGCAAAACAACGCCGGAGTTGTCCCGACGTAGATGTTCCAACGCTCAAGTCAGTATATGAGAAAGATAATATATATACAATGTATGTAAGTATAGAATGTTTTGAGTGTGTAGGGTTGAAATGCTTATACATCACCCCTTTAGATAGGTGTGTTATCTTGTTGCCCAAGATCTGCCCGATCTGGCTACCCAAATGCCTGAGCTGCCCGATCATACTAACTGAGTTCCCCAACTTCCCGCCACGTGGTCCTATCCATATGTCCTTCTTATCCTAATTATATTCGTACGTATCCATTATCCTGACATATTCACATTAGTCTACCTCATTAGGTAATTAGGTATAATTGTGCTATCAACTCGATTCCTTTTGAACTAGGTCATTCTGGTCTTCAACTAATAAGCCTACTTCCTAGATCCTAAATCGATATCTTCACTTCCAAGTCGAGTTTTCATCAGGCTAATCGAGAGCCCTAGCTCGACCTGTTGCTTAACTGATTCTACCTTAAAGATCATCATCGACCTGGTAAACTGATACTTTAATATCCCCATGTCCCTTTGCTGTCCGACCTCTAGTTGACCAACTGATCCACTTGAACAACTCAAGTTATTCTTAGGTCTTATGCGATCAAAGAAACGTTATATGATATCCCATATTAGTTTTAATAATAACTATTATATGATATAACAGTTAAAAAAATATAATTATTATTTAATTAATATAAAATATAATGATTTATTACGTAATTGACCAAAAATATGAACGAAAATTTTGCTATTCAGCCCACAATTATAATCACTGTGCCAGGGTAAGGTTGCTCGGTACGCTGTCGTTTAATCTGGAGTCTAGAATAAAACAGAAAAAGAACTCGTGAGCAGCAAGTTTTTTCGCTCCCGAGGAAGGCTTTTCCCGCTTTCAAGCTCGGCGAACAATGGCTCCGAAATCCGACAGTGCTGAAGGTGCGCATATACTTCTGAGGATACTTTACGCTTCGTTGCCATCAAATTCCAGACATTTAATTCTGTATAATTAATTTGTTGATTATTCATTTCTTCGGTTATTTTTACAGCTATCGTGCTCAACTTCTTGAATGAGGTGAGTTTATCAGTTTCCTTTTTCTGTCTTCTTAACCCTGATTTGCCTTTTGTTTTATGAATTATCGTCTTACGCTTGTACGTTGGAGTCTCAGTTGATCTAGCACTGTTGGGATTGTTCCCTTAATGAATCTAGGGGCATGAAAACTTGTTGTGGCGCCGAGCATCTTCCTTTCTCTCATGCTGTTGTAATTGGAAAACTAGTTGAAGCGTGCAATTTTTTTTGAGAAAAATATGGGTGAAGAAAGGGTTCATAGGTTAGTTGCTGCTGGGAGTGTTAATGGTTTGAAGTGAATCGGTTTGAGTAGTTTCTGGTTTGAAGATGTTTCCTGTAAATTTTATCTATCTTTGCTTGTTGAACATTTTCTGTATAAAATCTGCAGAAACCTAAATGTGTAACTCTTTCTCATTGGAATTGTGTGCTCTGTGCAGCAAAATAGGCCTTTGAACTCACAAAATGTAGCAGATTCACTGCAGAAGTTCAACCTTAAAAAGGCTGCCATTCAGAAGGCATTGGATGGCCTTGCAGATGCTGGGAAAATATCATTCAAGGAGTATGGCAAGCAGAAAATATATCTGGCTAGGCAAGACCAGTTCGAAATTCCAAATAATGACGAGCTCAATCAGATGAAAGGAGAGAATTCCAAACTTCAAGAACAGCTTGATGAGCAAAAAAAAGCTATTGCTAAGGTGGAAGCAGGTGAATATGCCTCATTCATTAATGTCTCTGTATTGTCCAGAAGTTTGAGTGTTTTTTGTAAATTGAGACAGTGCACGATTTAAGGCAACCAGTAGAGTCTATGGAATCAATAAGTTGCTCTGTAATCAACAGATGTGACTTCCTGTGACATTAGATTAGGGATACTTAAAATGTCTACCTTGGAGGGTTTCACTCAATAATGAAAAATCTGTGACATTCCCTAATCACTAACACCTAATAAATATATCTCTATTGGGATCACAAATTTCTGTAATAGACACAAATCGAAAGGGTCATTTGTAATACTAAAAAATAGCTTTGACCTGTGGTAATGCTTTTCAATGGCTGTTTTCCAATCATTCATTTAGTTTATTTAAGATATCATTTTCTAAAACCCAACATGGATGTTTCATTGTTTAATATGGGCTGTTTGAGCTAACAAATGCAGAGATCAAGGCACTGCAGTCAAACTTGACATTGGAGGAGATACTGAGCAGACAAACCCAATTGGGGAACGAGGTATAATTATGCAGAGTCGAAATTCATTTGTTCTTTAACATATCAGTGGCAGGAATATCATTCATCACATAATAATAATAATAATAATAATTTCACAGGTTAAACAAATGGAGGAGAAGTTGATCAAGTTGAGGCAAGGAGTGACTCTGGTGAGCCCGAAAGAGAGGCAGGCAGTGGAAATGCTGTATACAAGTATGATGAATCAGTGGAGAAAACGTAAGAGGATGTACAAAGATATCTGGGATGCAATCACTGAGAACTCCCCCAAGAATCTTAAAGAATTTAAGGTGTTGTTCAATATTAACTTGATCCCTTTTAATTTTTCCATTCCGTAACTTGGCATTTCGTTTTCTGAATTGATGTTCATTTAAAAGGAGGAACTTGGTGTGGAGTATGATGAAGATGTTGGTGTCAGCTTGCAATCCTTTGGTGATTTGGTGCAAAATGGAAACAAGCGACCCAGATGCAATTGACATTTTTATCCAAGATGTCTCAGTTTAGTCTGGGCTCACAAGCTTTGTATCTCTTCATTTTAAGTTCATCAAATTTTTAGCTGGATTCTGGAAGTATACATGGTTCATGATCTTGTGGTCGTGGCTTGAAGTACACTTTATTGTAAATCCCATATTGTGCGAGACTTAAACTTTCAGGAAGCTTTTGAACCTTCGGTTCCTACAAAGTAAATGCGTTAATCATATTGTTTTATATTGATTTGAGTTGATGATGTTCTTTTTATTTCTTGGAATGGCGTTTTTTTAGTGACTGATAGCATTTCTTTGAGACTGATAGCAGATGTTGCATAGTGTGTTGTTTGCTTTTGGTTGTGTTTTGTGTCCTTGCTACACTTCAATAATTTATTATGTCCTTGTAGTATTTTTCTTATTCTATAGTGAGTGAGCCCACACACCAAATTTTGGCTTTGAAATTCAGTGTCCGATTGTTGGCAAATAAAATTTAGTATTTGAGAACCTTTCAATAATGGAAGAAGAAGTGCCCATACTCTTGTTGGAGATAAAATCGAAATGGTAGAATTAGTTAAAAACGACCCAAAATTATTTTGGAAAATTTTCACGTATACTTACAGATTTTTAGATAATTGCAATGTTATCATCCATACCAATTATATTGTGTATATACCTAAAAGATAAATATTAATTATTAATCATGCTTAAAATCAGTTACAAGGTAAGTGGAACAACCTTCCATGTTCCTAGCGCGTAATTTCAGGAAATCGGGCAAAGAGTACGAAATTTCACGAAATCTTCGTCGCCTATATATATTGCTTTAACATATACTGCAAATATACTGTACATATACCCGTCGAACGTCTTCCTGTTAATGTCATGAGAAAATATACCGAGAATATACTGATAATATACCGTCGAACGTCTTCCTGTTAATGCCATGAGAAAATATACAGAAAAGATATTGATAATATACCGAAAATTTTTAACTATTACATACTATCGAGCGTCTTCCTATTAATGTCATGAAAAAAAAAAATGGAAAACAGTGAAACATGACTAAAAATATACTGGAAATAAACCATACAATTTTCATTGAACAATAAAAATAAGAAAAAACTACAAAGTATAGACACAAAAAATCAACTGAATACAAACAAAATGATACAAATAAGCAATTCTCATTCCTCCCAAAAGACTAATAATATACTGAAGAAAATCAATCCGACCGAAACAAACATTCGTCAACAAAAAAATTTGCTAATATACTAAACATAAGCTTATTTTTTGGCAGGGACGCGGATCATATACTGTACATATACTGCATATATACTCAGAAAAAATAAATTAAAAATATATATTAGAAATGGCAGCAGCAGAAAAGAAAGAAGGCGCAGAGCGTAGAGACCAACACGACGGCCTCGAAAAGCCAAGACGATCTTGAAGAGTACCCCATCGACGAATCACAAGTGCAAATTTGAGCGAGATGCATCTCTCGTCGCGGATGTTTGAGCGAGACGGTGCTTGAGCGAGACGGAGGCGGATCCGGCGGCGGAAGGGGGATTGGAGGAGTCGACTGATTCAGTCGAAACGACGGGTTCGATTGATGCTATTCGTCTTGAAAGGGGGATCGGAGGAGTCGACTGCTTCGATTGATGCTATTGGCGCGGACGGTGAGGTGGTGATGCCATTGACGGAGGAGTTTTTTCTTTCTGAAGGAGATTTAGTTTTCCGAGGATCGCATGAGAGGAGGGACGTGAGTGCAGCGGTTTTTGTTGTGAATTTAATTTCCTTAATTTTAGGTAAAATCTCCTTAATTATCTGATATAACTGCCTAATTATAATTTTAGGTATATTAACAATAATTTATGCTTAGTTTAGTAATTACATAAATATTTAACTAATGGTTGTAAATTTATAATATATTAGTGATGCTGATGTAGGGGTGCAATTTCCTCAATTATTTTTAAATACCACCACACTCACAATTGCGTTAGACTACCTTCGAGTATAAATATTTTGAATACCCCCACATTCGTTGAAAGCGTCCGTGGGTGAAAAACTCGAAATGGTAAAATGGGTTAAAAACGACCAAATTATTTTCAAAATATAATCAACCCACAATTGCGTTACACTACCCCCCGAGTATAAACAATTTAAATACTCCACATTTGTTGAAAGGATTAATTGAATATGACGTGCATGACTGTCTCTTGTTTTTCCTATTCAATCACGACATTAAATTTTTGTTCGTGACATCGAAACTAAGGATTCGATGATATTAAGGATAAATTATCTGAAGTTTCCCATTCTAATTTTAAAGTTCACATTTTTAAGTACCTGCAGTCAGAGACGGAACTGTAGGGGGCCCAGGAGGCATTGGATCCCCTAAAATTTTGTAATAATCTAGGGATATTTTAGTAATTTTACAATTAATTAAAAAAATAAAAAAAAATAATATATATTAAAAGCTGAAGCATCGAGGAGCAGGCGAGCAGCAGAGGAAAAATTATACAAAAAAAAAACCTAATCCCTTGAGATTTGATAGAAAACGATAAAAAGAAAGAGGTCCCCGTCCGTCCACCGGTTTAGCAGCTTGACGGCTTTAGTTTCATCCCCGTCCGGCCGTCCAACTTCCGGAAGTCATCTTGTTGAGTGAGACTTTTCCTTTTTTCTAATTTCTGAATGTCGAACAAACAAGAATCAAATTTCTGATTTTTTTTTATTTCTGAATTTCCGGAAAACATATGTGAGTCTGTGACTATGTGTAGTTTTTTCATGCGGGAAGAAAATTTTATATGCTGTAAGAGAATTAGAGAATCATGGTGATGGGTTTATTTGTTTGTTTCGGTGGGTGGGGCCGTGGGGGACTACACTAATGTGTAAAAAAATTCTTAGGTTTCTTAATGAAAAAAAAATGGCAATTAATGTGCCTTTTTAATGGAATTATTGTTGTTTTCTTTTTTTAGTGGGATGAATGAATAATGATTGTAGACTATTTGAAAGGCAAAGGCCCTGGTCGTGTATTTATGCTTTTTTATGGGTCTTATGATCAATTTATCTACAATTCCATTGAGGGACCAATTAAAATTTTAATTTGACTGATAGAAGAAAAGAAAAAGGGTCATCACTTTGAACTGATTTTTTGTTTTTACCTCTATGGTTTGGATTTTTTTGAAAATTGAAAAACTCTAGTAAGACTAGTTGGTGTTTGGGAATTCCTTGCTTTATGATTATTATATAACCTAATTTTTATTTATTTATTTTAAAATTTAGGTCAAGGAACGATTTTATAAGAGATTGCCAAAGAGTGTTGAAATATCATCCTCTACAATTAAAGCTCCTACGACGACCGCATTATCTTTACCATCTAAAACACCTCCAATTTTTGGTGATTCTCAAGTTCCATTATCGAATGAAGATATTGCAGAGTTTCATTTGAAAAATCTTCCAAGCGATCCTGGACTACGACTTAGCATAACGAGCTATTCGCCAAAGTTGATACAACAGGTTCGTAGAGCTTACTTGTTAAAAGGTCCATGTCAACCGTGCGAGCATGATTTTCCTCAGACTTTAGATGGAAATCGAAAACGTAAATTTGTTGCATCTTGGTTTGATAAATTCAAGGATTGGTTGGAGTATAGCATTGTGAAAGATGTTGCATACTGTTTATATTGCTATATTTTTTTCTATGGGGAACAGTGAAAGAGGCCACGATGCTTTTGTATGGGGAGGATTTAATAATTGGTGGAAGAAGGAAAGACTAAGAGATCATGTTGGGAATCATAATAGTGGTCATCATAAATGTAGAGTTGCTTGTCAAAATTTGATGAATCAAGCTCGACATATTGATGTGTCTCTTTCAAAAGCAACAAGTCAATCTAAAATTGATTATCGTTGAAGATTGAATGCATCAATTGTTTGCTTGCGTTATCTCATTATGCAAGGTCTACCTTTTTAGAGGGAATGATGAGTCATATGAATCATTAAACCAAGGGAACTTTATTGAACTCCTAAAAGTTCTTGCTTCATGTAATAAGGAAATACATAATGTTGTTTTGGGTAATGCTCCTGAAAATCATAAACTTACTTCTCCTATGATCCAAAATGATATAATTAGTGTTGCATCAATTGAGACAACAAATGATATTATTGAAGATCTTTGGACATGATTTTTTCTCCATTTTAGTTGATGAGTGCCGGGATATCTCAGTGAAAGAGAAAATGAGTGTTGTCATACGTTATGTGAATAAGAGTGGATGTGTTATTGAACACTTTCTTGGTTTGGTGCATGTTAGTGATACGGCTGCAACTTCACTCGAGCAAGGTATTTGCTCTTTGTTATCTACTTATGGCCTGAGTATTTCTAGTTTAAGAGGACAATGTTATGATGGAGCGAGCAATATGAAAGGTGAGTTCAATGGACTAAAAAGTTTGATATTAAAGAAAATTCTAGCGCATACTATGTCCATTGTTTTGCTCACCAACTCCAACTCACACTCGTTTCTGTTGCTAAAAAGCATACAAGTGTCGGTTCTTTTTTCAATACTGTTACTTGTTTAACTAATATTGTTGGAGGTTCTTGTGCGTAGATATGCTTAGAGAAAAGCGAAAAGAGAAATTAATTTAGGGGATTGCAAGCAATGAGATTGAGACGGGAAAATGATTAAATCAGGAGATGACTTTGAAGCGACCGGGAGACACTCGGTGGAGTTCACATTATGGTACTCTCATAAACTTGGTGCATTTATTTTCATCTATTATTGATATTCTTGAGTATATTGGTGAAACAGGAAATGATGATTCACAAAGGGCTGAAGCCATTGATTTGTTAGAGATTGTGAAAATGTTCGACTTCATCTTTACTTTACATTTTATGATGAAAATTTTGGGAGTCACGCATGAGTTGTCTCAAGTTCTTCAAAGAAGGGATCAAGATATTGTTAATGCGATGAAACTTGTTAAAGTCGCTAAAGCTCGTATGCAAGCCATCAAGGATAATGGTTGGGATGATTTACTGGCTGAAGTTTCCAAGTTTTGTGGCAAATATGACATAGTTATATTGGATATGGAAGTGAATATGCAACTCGAGGAAGACCGAGGCGCAACGTTGAAAAGATGACCAATCTTCACCATTATCGAGTTGAGTTGTTTTATTCCGTGATTGATATGCTAGCTCAAGAGCTTAACAATCGGCTTGATGAAGTGAACACGGAGCTACTCTGTTCAATGGTATGCTTTGATCCGAGAGACTCATTTTCTGCATTTGATAAAGGGAAATTGCTCCATCTTGCAGAATTTTATCCATCAGAGTTTTCTACAGTTGCTTTACATGAACTTAAAAATCAGCTCGAGAATTTTATTTTTT